AGTGCTGGGATTACAGGTGTGCACCACCACACCCCATCTCAATTGCCTTCTCAGCCTGCCCTGGAGGCAGGGCCAGCACAGCAGTCTGGGAATTGAATCCCGGTCCCTGCATCTGCCTAAGCAGGCACTTTAATCTGCTAAACTATCTGACCAGCCCTTACAGTTTGATTCTTTACCATTTAGGATACATTTTCTCATACAAACTATTCCAATTAAAGATGAGATTTATTTACCTTCCATGCAGCTTTAACAAGATCCTTTTGTGGACTGGCAAGATAGCTCAGTGGACTAAGCACCTGCTTAGGCAAGCACAGGGACAGGAGTTCAATCCCTGGCACCACATTCAGCCCCTCCCCCACCCCGGGGCAAGCTGAGTCAGCAAGACCACACGTATTGGCTCATGCCTGTAATCAATCCCAACACTGGAGAAGCTGAAAACAGGAGAGTCACTACAAGTCCAAGCTGTGTAGTGAGACCCAGTACCAAACACATTTTGAAAAAAGACACTTTCACAAATAAAAAAATTACATGCAGTTTTTTTGTTTTTCTTTCTTCTTTCTTTTCAGTGAAAAGCTGAATGTAATCAAGAAAAAATGTAATTCATTTAAAATTCTTCTTGGTTTGGTCAAACTACAAAGATAAGGCTTTGTTCCTGTTGCTTCTTGTGGCTGAAACTATACAGAAGTACTTGACAAATGAACAGTAAAGTACAGGTTTCCCTCAGATAAAGATTTGTTTTTCTTTTTTAAAAATGGAACTAAATAAATAATAAAAAATGGAACAGACTCATCCAAAATAAAATTTGATGGTTTAACTTCAAATAGACATGCACTAATAATGTACATTATTGACATTTCATAGTATTTCAAGGTTCACCTTGTTGAAATAACAAAAAACAAAAATAGTATCTCCCCCTGCCCCCCAAAAGCAAGATCTTTTTCATAAATTCTAGTCTTGAAGTTACAGGAAAACTTGTTTAATGCCATACTTAAAGGTAAAATTCTAGAAACTGTTTACTCAAATACTAGAAAATGTTCGCTTTATTGTCCTTTGGTCAAGTTTGGGGCTTTTGTTCGTTTGTTTTGGTGAGAGAGGTGGTTGTTGTGGTTTCCATGGTGGGTGGTTGGTTTCATTTTGAGACTTAAGGTACTAAAAGCCATGAGCTAGATGTTTGGACCTCATATGCACGATGTACTGAGAAGGCTGTTAATTGTTAAAGTTTATGAGTTGAAAATCACAGGTTAATATTTAAGGTACAGACTCAGTTCATTACTAAAGAATTGACCACATGACATGGAAAAAGTTTGGCTTATTAAGCATACAAGAGCTATTTATAGTTTAGAAGACATCATTAAATAAGCAATGTGAATTTGTGGGAAGTCATTATTTCTCACTGATCAGAAGTGATAAGGATTCATCCATTATGGAGAATGTCCAAGGGACGGTGGAAAGCAAGCAAAACATTCTTGGCCGCCTTTCCTATCCTCTTTCCTCTACTTCAAGGACAACCAAACAATCCCCTTCTTGCAAAGGGGACAGTGTAATACAGTTAATGAAGGCCCTGTTGAACTGACAAGCGTTGATCGGAATTTTTCATAGTATACTTTATTGACATTTAGAGCACCGTGTTTTGTTTTTTAAACAAGACAGTTGATGTGTTATTTTTTGCTGTCTTTTTTTTTTTTTTCCTTTTATTGAGAGGGTTGCAAGTTGAGACAGTGTCTTGCTGTGTGTTCCCAGATGCCCTTGAACCCACTGCATAGCACACATTGTCACCATATTTGCAGTGATCCTCCCACCTCAGTGACTGGATGCTGGGATTATTGATGAGCCCCACCACATCTGGCAATACATGTAGTTTTACCAGAGGTTCCATTTCTCTTGGTAATAATCAGATCCCATTCTCTTTCCACTTGTGGAGGTTTGGTTTTATTGCATAAATAAAATACTACTTTAGGGAGAAATATTACTTGAATCTTGTGGCCCAACATTGTGTGGGAGCAAATATGAAATGCACTTAGTTGTGTACAGTTTGTTTTTGTACATAGAAGAATTTGTCCTATAATTAGGGATGGTGAAGAATACCAAGCGTGTATTTGATGAAGTTGTGAACAGCCACCAGTGGTAGAAATTGGACAGGCATCTTGGCTATTAATTGCAGCATGCCGTTAACTTTGCGAGAAGGCCTTGTGAGGGATAATCTATAGTCTACAAGCAGGAGTTTTAGAGAGCTGAGAACTATTCCTTTCAGGCACACTTTGCAGGTTGCAAGGTCCCTACAGCACTTGTCTCTTCCTTCATCTCTGTGTTTTCATGAGGCAGGCACACCATTTCTAATCTCTGGTTTTAAAATCTCTTCTGATTTCTCATTTCCACATCCCACCCCAGCCCCACCCTAGTTCTAGTTCTGTTTCATCAGTTTCCCTGGGCAGGAAGTAGCCACCTGAAAGAATTATCTTGTGAGTAAAAATGTCAGTTTACCTGTTCGTAGCATACCTCTCTTGGCTCAGTAGGAAGTGGCCTCATTGCATTGCTCTGTGAGTTAATTCTTTTTGATCACCCTTTCCCCTCCTTTACAGTCTGTCATGATTCAAGGCATCCTGCCCTACAGAAATTCTGCTTAAAGCCTATTGACCCCTGTGTATTGGCCAGAGTCTTTCTTTAATCCTTAGCACCACAGTTTTAAAAACAATTCTTGCTAATTGCTCTGTGCTATGGACAGTATTCAGCCCCTCCCTCTGCTCAGTACATATCCCATTTTTGTTCTTCTGTAATTTCATTTATTTATCAACACGTGGAGTACTTAGCACTATGCTAAATGCCATTATGACAAAGGTGATGAGCACATGGCAGACTGGCAGTTGTAATACAGCATGGAAAGTGACATCATAGAATTTGTAGGGTGTCCTGGAATGAGGCTGGCTTCTCAGATTCAGATTGGTAGGTCTCATCAGGCTGGGAATTCCTGGGACCAGGCTCTTGTCATACCTTAAATTCTTTTTGCTGGAGGAATTTTTATGCCCAGGTCCAAGTAGCCTTCTTAAGTTTATGTAGAAGAAAAGTTTGCATATTGGCTTAAATGAAAGTATCTAATAGGGTGTACTTTTTCATAAAATTTGAGTGCCTTATTCACATTATTAACTCTAGTATTTTGACACCAGAGTATTAGTTACTCAGTGGCAGTTAGTTTATCTGTGATTCTGACAGCTTGGTAATCCCTATAGACAGCTGATAGATTTGTGTCCTCAGTCAATATTTATGAAATGTTTCAAAATAGTCGTTGTCTTTATGTAAGCATTAACACAGTCTTGCTTCCAATTTGAAGGGGCAGAATATGTACAATAACTTTATGTTAGAAACCATAGAAAGAAATAGTTGCCTTTCACTAGGGGTAAGACTGTATATGGAGACAGGATCTGAGGCTCTGTAATTCACCCCATTCTGTGGTTACTTTCTTATCTTTGCCTGAATCCCTTGTGCTGTGCCACCCCTGATCAAAGTTCATGTTGCTAGAGGCTGTTAGGTAGCTAGCTTTGAGATTGCACCTTCCTTGCAAACCACACTGTCATTGAGCCAGTACTGAAACACTCAGGTTAATGTGTGTGCTGTTACGCAGTAATAAGCATCTGTCCCATCTCCTCTTGTCCCACGTCTCTTGTCGGCGTACCATGGCCCCTACCAAGAGGTACTGCAGTAACACCGTGCTTAACTTAGGAGTCTTTATGCCATGCACCTAGCAACCCTTGTCTTATTAAGGAAGCCTGAATTATGTTTAAAGTCAGCTTTTTTTTTTTTCTCCCCTTAAATGTGTCTCATGTACTCTGTCAAGAAGTAGATCTCTGAACAGTTCTGATTCCTTTTCTCTAGTTATCTTCCCTGACCTGAGGGGTAGAGAAAGAACTACAGGGCCTGAAGATAGCTATTACATCAGGGCAACCAGTGTTTCCTCTTGTTAGGGACCCATTTGGATCTTCCCTTTTTGTATTTGGAGAGTTTATTCTGCTGTGAATATCTGTCTAGATGGAAACAGCAGTAATCCTTTTAATCCAGGTTTCACTTTTTATAGTCCAGTTACCCATGATTATCCATGGTCAAAAAATATTCCATGGAAAATTGTTTAAAATAAACAGTACCAGTTTTGAATTGTATACTTTGTAATTGTGATAACGTTTTGTACTGTCTCACTCTGCCCTTACCTGGACATGAATCATTCCCTGGTCTAGTATTGCCACACTAGGTGAGGTGCCTAATCACTTAGTAATTGCCTCTTTTCAGATCTGTGGTGATGAAGTACTGCTTACAAGGTGCCCTACTGTATTTGCTTTCAGGTATCTGCTGAGGGTCTTAAAACATATCTCGTACTGATAAGGAGGAGCTACTGTGTATAGAAGTAATTCATAAATGTTCCTTTTGTAAATGTTCCTCTTTGGGGTCTTTAAATGGTCATGCATTGTGAAAGTGTTTGGCACCACTTAGAATCTGTAAACAATGGTGCTGAGAGCCAGTGTCAGTTGGAGATTGGTGCAAACTAAATGGTTGATGGCACAATGAATGTATTACTTGTCTAAGATTTTTCATACTGACTTTCAGTCTTTGCCCCCTTGGGAGCTAGTATGAACCACAGTTGGGTTTTATGCTCTGTGTGTGTTGCCCATGCCAATCATAGCACTGCAGGGGAGCGTAACCAGTCAGAATAATTAGATTGAGGAGTGAATGCCACACTTCTAATTTCATTCTCTTTTCAGGGGATTACCAGTGTCCATTTAATAAAATGAGATTAACCTTCTGCAGCAGGAGTATTTGAAAGCTGTCAGTCAGTATAATCTTGACAGCCTGAAAGAAACAGTATTCTCAGCACTCCCAGAAACACTGTACTGTGTTGCTGGCCACATGAACGTGGGGCTGTGTGAGTTAGGTTTAACGTGTACATATGAAATGTATCATCTCAGAAAAAAAATACTTCTAAAACAATTAATAGTGTTTTTTCTTGACTGTTTCAGAAAACCTCGGATCAATTCTCAGCTGGTGGCACAACAAGTGGCACAGCAATATGCCACTCCACCACCCCCAAAAAAGGAGAAGAAGGAGAAGGTTGAGAAGCAAGATAAAGAGAAACCTGAAAAAGATAAGGAAATTAGTCCTAGTGTTACCAAGAAAAATACCAACAAGAAAACAAAGTAAGTTTCTGAGAGAATAAATATAGTATCTTATTTTGCAGATAAAGCAAAGCTATCTTTTAAATCCCTATTTTTTTGTATCTTCTCTCCCCCAGACCAAAGTCAGATATTCTGAAAGATCCTCCTAGTGAAGCTAACAGTATACAATCTGCAAACGCTACAACAAAGACCAGCGAAACGAATCACACCTCAAGGTATTTTAAAACTAAAATGAATATTGAATTACTGCTCTCATTTATGTAATTGTAATCAAGAGTCCAGGATGAATAGCTGAATTTTAAACCCAGGGAGGAGCGATGAAGAGCTAGGAAGGAGCAGGACTGCTCACTTTGGGGTTTTGATTGATTGTGTTTTTTAAAAAGTTACAGTCTACTTTTATATCACAGGGACCAAAAGCAGGCAACAGGTAATAATTTTTGCATTGGTCCAAACTTTAGCTAGATAATGGTCATTGCTAAAGTCTGTCATCACACTTTATAGACAACTAAGGTATATGTGGTAGGCATTTTGAAACATTGGAAGTGTCACGAAGTCTTGGTGTGTATGGATGATGATCTGGTAGGACCTGGTTCTAATCCATCATTTATTTAAGTTACCATTCCCCTCCCTTGTGTTTTAGGCCCCGGCTGAAAAATGTGGACAGGAGCACCGCACAGCAGTTGGCAGTAACTGTGGGCAACGTCACCGTCATTATTACAGACTTTAAGGAAAAAACTCGCTCTTCCTCGACATCCTCATCCACAGTGACCTCCAGTGCAGGGTCAGAACAGCAGAACCAGAGCAGCTCGGGGTCAGAGAGCACAGACAAGGGCTCCTCCCGCTCCTCCACGCCAAAAGGCGATATGTCAGCAGTAAATGATGAATCTTTCTGAAATTGCACATGGAATTGTGAAAACTATGAATCAGGGTATGAAATTCAAATCCTCCACCTGCCCATGCTGCTTGCACCCCTGGAGAATCTTCTGTGGACATCGACCTCTTAGCGATGCTGCCAGGATAATTTCTGCTTGCCATGGGCATCTGGCCACCAAGGAATTTCGCACCCTGACGATTACTCTTGACACTTTTATGTATTCCATTGTTTTATATGATTTTCCTAACAATCATTTATAATTGGATGTGCTCCCGAATCTACTTTTTATATATATATATAAAAAAAAAATCTGCTGTGCACAATTTTCCATGTACATTACAACTGGTATTTTGTTTTGTTTTGTTGAGGGTTGGGGGGGAGGGAAGTTTTATTTATTGTGTTCACAAACTCCATCCTTTCAGCATATCCTCTTAAGTTTAGTTCTTTCTTGCAGTTATACTATGTACTATCAGTTTTGATATAACTATATATATATAAATATAAAATTATATATAAAGGGTTATTTGAAACCAATTCATGGCAACGCTGGTGCTTGATACACTGTGAAGTGAATACAACATTGAATAGTTACAGATCTGGGACAGTCCCTTCTATGAAAGTGCTGAAATTGAATTAAATCAGTCTTACATGAAGTATGTTCCAGCCCACAAGGGAACTTGACTCATCTGTCTATAAACAGTACTGGATGATATAAAAATATATATATTTTTAAACTATGTGATCTCAAATTTAATGACTGCTCCAGATAGTCTGCATTTTGCAATGGGATAACTGACAAATCACAAGTGGTTTAGTTGGGGAGGGCTTTGATCATCCAAAAGAAATTAAACTAGCTCCAGAATGCCAAGTATTCGTGTAAATTACGGTTACATGTTAACATTGCTGTTCTCACTTAATTCATGAAAATACAGTGTTCTGTACCTCGAATTCCATCCATTTTCCAGACTTCTATTCATGTCTGAGATAAATCTAGAAGTTGTCTTTTAGTTTTAGGATTAAACAGTCTAAAACTGCATTTTTGGCCTATACCATACTTGGAACCAGTCCCATGTTTCCATTTTTCACATGACTTTGCAAGGGTGGTTTTTGTTACTGGAATTTGTTTGTGTCATGTTCCCTAGTCCCTCACTTACCAGTGTTGTGAGAATTCATTTTTCTTTGGTACAACCTACTATTGTTTGTTTTACTAAACAAATACTATGAACTACACATCAGTCCCAACATGGAGCCCTGTAGTGTGTAGACATTTCCCAGTACCCTGGGAAAGGACTCTGGTGGTGAATGGCCAGGATGCAGGGAAAACTCATACTCATGGTGAGAGCAAACACACATGTGATCTTTGTCTTCCTTGACAGGGAGTGAACCCCCCCCCCCACGTTTTACTGCCTTGCAAAACAAAAACAAAAAAAAATATATCAAAGACCGCTAATACACTACCATCTATCATTTAAAAAACATTTTGCTTTACTTTTATTTGGATTTGGGGCTCTGCCTCTGTTTGACTTCTGTGTTCATGTCCACTGAGTTTGTAGTACTTTGGAGTCATTTCAAACCTTGTTAACCTTCCTTTATTTGATCTTTAAAGACTCACGAAAGGGCATATGATGGAATGAAGCACCACATTTTGGTGTTAAAGTGGCTTGCTTATTAATAGAAGTAACTTCTGTGGAGGCAACAAGTAAAAAGAAATTAACAGCTTGAATTGAGTAGCCAACAGTAAAGGTTCCTTTCACATTTACATTAAAACTATCCCATAGTCCACTAATTACCATAATTTAAATTCTGTTCTTAAAAGGTCTAGATTATAAAGCAGTGCCATTTGTTGCTGTGGTCCTCTCAAATGCATGGACAATGTTCCCCTCTTTTTAAACTAATGCTTGTATCTGGGATGCAAGCTGTGCTTATCTTTTTAAATACCTTTTTAAAGTATTTATTAATGAACCAAAGGAAATTAGGTGCTCTCTACAAGCATCAGAATATATAATACATAGTGATTTGACTATGACTTTTAAATCCACATTTTAATATTAGTGGGATATTGCAAAGACATTCCTTCTAAAGTTTTAATATTCCTTTTATTAAGGGTCTCAGGGAGGGTAAATTAGTCAGCCATATTTATTTTCCAGAGGTGTAAGAAATTGCTAAGTTTTTAATTAACTTTTTAAAAAAATTTAAATGCCACCAAACTTGTGGGTTGCACTGCTTTTTGAACCAATAATTGTTGGTATGCACTTTGTCCAGAAACACTGTGTACTTTTTCAAAAACAGTTTCATGTAAAGTGATTGGACCCCTAGATTAGTGGAATAGCTGATGAACCAGCTACTCATAGGCTGCTAATTAACTCATTGCCAATGTTTTGGTTTTTCAATTTTGCCTCCGTGATAAATTAAAGAATGGGGAGAGGTGAAGGAAGGGGAGGTGGATTGCTTTTGAACAGGTGGGATGAACTTGCTGTTTTGGTAGGAGCTATAGTTGCAGTGGGAGTTACCTAAGCAATCAGATGTTAGAAGACCGCCCTTTAGCTGCAGTTCTGTTGGGGTAGTGAAGTGGTAGGTATTTTTAGACTTTTAATTTCTGAAGTTGTTGACACCCCTCAGGCATGTATTCTGGAAATGGAATTCCTCTTTCTGCCTTTGCAGTTGCCCTACAATTAGTAGGCAGTGCATAAAAACACTAGTGTAGGTTATAAAGATATATATTAAAAGAGGACCAGAAATACTTGGTATTCAGTGGCACAGAAAGCAGGTTAAAAAAAAAAAAAAAAAAGCACAGTGTTATGCTTGCAAGTTTCCATTTGTTTTAATACAACACACTCACACTTGTGTGTGCCTGGGCACACTCAAGAGCTTACCTGACTTGTTCTGCTTGAGTCATGCAATTTTTAAAAAAGATAAAGGCATCTTGACACCTAGAAAACATTTTAATCAAAACCTTTCAGTTTCAATCTGAATATTTAAGAGATTGGCAAAAGCTTCTGTGAGTTTTATTCCACTAAGATGTTTTACCTGCCTTATCGAGACCATTCTCAGTCTACTTTTTTAAGCTACCGTATCTTAAATTATTGAAAATTTATTAATTGCTGAATATATAATAACCTTTGCTTGTATGTAACCGAAAATGGTTTTAAGAGCCAACATTTAGAGTATGACAATGGAGCTGAACAGTTTTTAATGCGCAAGCAGTTCTGTTCTTGTGTATGACTTGTAACCTTAATTTACTGTGTAAAGATGGTTACATTATTTCCTTAGCTTTGTTTGTTGGAGACAAATAGAGAATGCTTGTTAAGTATGTCAAAACATAATCTTGTGAATTTTTGTTAATGTATTATACGAGCTATATTTTCCATTTGCCCAGAAAGACAGCTTGTATAACGCTTTTGGAAGTTTTCTGCTCTGTAACGTCTTTAGAGCTGACAGTCTGTTAGGTTTGTTTTTTCTTCATGCTAAAGTGTCAGTTGGTGGTTTTGTGAACTGGTCAGAAATTCACAGGTCTTAAATGTTTTGGGGGAAATTTATATTGGACACTGCTCTTTGTCTAGCAAATAAAAGATGTTAATATATTCCTGTTACTGGCATGTGCACGACTATGTTATTAGAAGCCACTTTATCATTTTCCTGCTTTAAATAGAAATGTCTATTTATGAATTCTGCTTGTAGTTTTTTCACAAATAAAATAGTAAAATTTACAGTGGAAATCTTTATTTTTGTGTTGTGTAGATTTTAGCCCTTAGAAAGTTGTTTTTTACCTAGATTTTTAGCTAATGGAATATTTTCAATATGAATAGCTCATTTTATTTTTATTTTTTTGATCTTATGTTACTTGAAGCTGAAGTTGTTTTGAGTTTATGTACTCAGATGCAGAAGATACAGTTGAGCAGAAAAATCACTGAAATTTGGAAGAATGAATTATCTTGGTGCATCCTTTGAGATAGGCAACAGTGATTTGAAGAAAGGAAGTAGAGATGGCTAAACATGGCTAACTCGGCATTGGACAGAAAACCCTCTAGTTCTGGCCTCGTACAATGAGGTCCACTGTGACACAGGCATGTGTATGTGTAACCTAAAGGGGACACACACAGCTCTCTTAGCACCCCCCTTCAAGGGACACTGACTTGCTGCTGGTGCCACATCAGTGACTAGCCTTTCCAAGAATAATGAAAACACTAAAATGACATTCATCTCCAGCTGACTATAGGGGGCCGGGGAGATAGTTCAGTAGAATAAGGCAAGCACAAGGGCCTGAGTTCAATCCCCGGCTCCACACACACACACACACAAAGTTTTCCTGTTGACTCTACTGAGTCTGCTTGAGCCAGTACCAGAGGGAAGGGTGTGTAAACAATGCAGGACCTTGATTTGAAACTTTGTCCTGATAAAGGGAAACTTAGTAAACATTCTTTGTCCACATTGCCATTATTGTGTGACTCAGGTTTGGCTTGTCACAAATGTCTGGAAGGAATTACTGACCAATGTTCCACCCACAGGCCATTTTAAATGGGCAAGTAATCTGTTCATCCCCTGGCTTTTCTGTTTGTGAAAGTCTTCATGCTGGTAGCACTAGCAACACTTTGGGAGGATGGGCACTCACTCTAACAGGTGTAGGTCCTTGGTCGTTGGAGCGAGAGCCTTTTGGACTTCTAGGAAGAGTTGATGATACTTTCCAGCTGTAGAACAGAAAAGGAGAGGGCATCTGCTCATCAGTCCTGAGTTAAACTTTAGCTTTGATAGTGTCTCATCACTCTTGAGGGAAAATAAAATGAGTAGGTGTGATGCAACTATACGAAGAAGCTCTTGCTAAAGCATTGGTGAGAATAGAATGATATCTAACTTGTGACCTACCTGCCTGACTTCATAATGGCATGGCGATGGAGAACAGCCAGCTGCTGCCCAGGCTAACGCCAGAACAGCAGTCATCTCAGGGAGGCCATTGTTCCTCTATCCCTGACCTTCAAAGAGCTGCTCTGAATCCTTCAGATGAGCAAGGGCAGTCTTAGAGCGGGCCTCGTGGTAGAAGCAAGGTTCTCAATTGGTTTGGTAATTAATGAAACCAGGGTCTCACGAGAGTGTGCAATGGAAATGGACATGGAGGTTTCAGGGAGGACTCTGCTTTTTCTAGAATGGGTCCCTAGAATGGAGGTACTAACCATCAGGCTGGGGTGAGGACACTTAACAGCATCCAGTCCCTAAATGTTTAGTCCCAATCACTTTCAGTTCTGTGTGTGAAATTTCTGATAGGAAAGGAGAACATAGACAAGTTGACCCGTTCCTGTAGATGCTTTTGACCTAGGACTGCAGGTGTAGTAAGTGAACACAACACATTTGTTCTCCACTCCTTAGGGCCAAGCTTTGTTAACTCATCTGAGTACCTTTTTTTCAGCAGAGTCCAGACTTGGCACCGTGAATCCAAACCCTTGATCCCATGGTCCCTTGGGATAAAGCCCCTTTGTCTTTCCTGCCCTGAACAAAACCCATCCAAATAGCTGGGGAATCGTGCAAGGCAGTTTAACTTCCTTCATAGAACCTAGGAAGCCAAGAAAAGAGTTGAGAGTCCTGGAAGAGCCAGGAAGAACATTCTGTAGTACCTTTCTGTTCAGTGTTCAACTTTCTGTTGAAAATGGCCAGTGGGGAGGGCTCCTAGTGAAGCCATTGTTGAGCTCTATAGCTTTCAGGGGAATCCTAAAGCCCAGGTCCAAAAGCCTCCTCCCCAGGGGGGTGCTGTGTCATGTGAACCAGATCAGGACCTGTCCTGTCTGTTGAGCTGCTTCTGTCAACCTCAGACTGTAGATCCTGAAATCTACAGGGAATACCTGGGAAGTCAGAGCCCAGTGAGAATCACCTCCAAGAACAGGGTGACCTTGGGTAAGTCTGTGGCCTCAGACTCGCCCCATTTCTAAAACAGGGACAAGGACCATTGCAGTAGCTGGTTGAGTTTGACTATTTTTAGTGGGAACAGAATTCTTTTTCATTCTGATGCCTTGCTCATAACACTAGAGATGAAAAGAAGCTTGTTTGGGGATTTTATCATGTTTTAAAAATTTTATTATTTTCCCTGGCACAGGAAGAAACGGTTAGCTAAAGGACACTTGTAAATAAAGTCCAGTGGTAGTTTTGATGGCTGTTTGATTCTGTGTACCAGTATTACAATAAATATGGCTTTTAATTTTCATAATTAAAAGTTTGATTTTAAAATGATATTCACTGTCCTGTTGTTTTTTCTGTCTTTCAATTGTATTTGTGTTAGTATTTTTAAAAAGCTGAGAGTTGGTGGGAGAGCTAACAGTCTGCAGAGTGCCTACCACCTCCCCGGAGTGAAGGCCTCACATACATAATTAGACACACAAACAACATTAATTGAAACTGGGTGTTTTTGTTTTCACTCATGCATAAATCCACATGCCCCTCGGACAGGGAAGCTTGAGCTGCAAACCACTTAGATCAGCCACAAACACACTCGTGGAAAGTAGATTTTGGATGAGAATCATTTTTTCAGCCTGAGTCATTGAGCTGTCACTGAAGCCCCCGAATGAGCAGCACTTGGAATCTAGATGCTAGGCAGATTTATAAATTGTATTCATCACCTCTTCATATTTAAAGGAGTTTGTACCCATTTGGAGAAGTCTACAGGAGAATTATCTCATTGCCTGGAATTATAACAATCTGCAAAATGTGTGAATTTGAGACATCCCCAAGAGGCAAGATCCTCTAATAAATTACTCTGTGAAGTTGCAGGCGACTCCTGCTTGCAGAGATCATGGTGACAAAGCAGGGGAAGGCAGCAAACAAATCGGGTAATAAGGGAGAATGTGAACAGCTCCCATTCATCCTGGAACAATCAGCAGCCGCCTGGTGCCGTCAGTCACATCCCTGTGCAGCCGGCACGCGGGGCCCACTAGCAGGATGCTGCATGGAGAAGGGACTGCCAGCAGCCCACGAGGGAGCCACTCCTCTGGGGGGCAACCCCTGTGCAGGAATTTAGGCCACAGAGAGTGCAGCACACTGGCAATGAGGTGGAAGCAGTGGTGGAAGCAACCATGGTTCTCCAGGTGACCTATTATAGCTTCTTGTGATCTGGATCCATGAAACAGTTGGGCATCATCATAGCCGCATTTAAGTAGTAAGAACAGCACCTTTTATTGCTTCTGATTTAATGCCTTTAGTAACTCATTTAAGCCCTCAGCCTGAGTGCTCAGTACAGCAGGAGTGGGCAAAACCACAGCCTATGGGCTAGGTCTGTCCTCATGCTTATTTTTGTATAACCTGTGAACAAAAAAATAGTTTTCACATGATTAGAAAAAATGTTTATAAAGAGTAATAATTGTGATGGGTAAAAATTGTATGAAATTTCAAGTTCGTGTCTACAAATAAAATTTTATTGGAGCATAATGTATGAAAAGTTCTGAGACATCCTATAGGAAAGAGACCTATTTAAATTTTATCACTGGCATATTGTTTTGGGGTTTTGTGGGGGGGTTGTGTGTGTGTTGGCAGTACTAAAGATTGAATCCACACCAAGCTGCATCTCAGCTCTGACCCCACTGCACTAAGACAGCCTCTTACTAAGTCACTGAATTGCCTGGGTGAAGCCCTAACAGCAGTCTTCCTCCTCAGGCTCCTGGAGTGCTGGAATTACAAGCATTGCCACTGTACTCAGCTCTGGTGGCTGTAACCTCAGCTTCAGTGAATACTCCAAGGACGTGTAGCTGGGGCATTTTAGGCACAAGTTGCTTCTTCGTGTCTTTGAGCAAATCCCTGGCTTCTCTGAACATCAGTTTCTTTCTCTGTAGAATAGAAAGGTATATAAGGCTATAAGAAGGCTTTATGAACAAATTCCTAGTCCTGGTAGATGCTCAGGAATCGTTAGCTATGAAGCTAGCCCTTGCCCTGCCTGGGTAACTCTGGTATCCTGTGACCTGCCACTTCCCACTACATGGCCACAATCGGAGCCACATGTCCTTTCATCTTCAAGTGCCACACAGTTACTGACAGGGCTTTCCTGAGCCATCCAACACTGGCCTGACCACAGAAGAGGGAAGGGCCTGGCATCTGGACTACAGGCAGGGCAGTACTCCACAGTGTCCCCAGGCCAGCAGTGTGGCTGTGGCTCTGGTCTGGGGTGCAGAGCCACACTCTCCTTGTCATGTTTTTGGGGAGGTCTAACACTGTGCTCTGGCTGCCAGCAGTGCTCTCTGTGCATTCCCATCTCAGTCACACTCCTGCTTAAGTTGTCCTTGCCTCATTGGGTGCTAGGAGCCTGGCTTCCTGAAAGCAGGTGAGTCACTGGCAGCCTCTCGCTCTGACAATCCACTTAGTGCCTGCAGAGACCACCCACCGGCCACCCTGTGAGCTGCACATCTGACGACTGTGCTTTCTAGACTTCACTGCCCCTCTGCTCTCTGCCTGACTCAGGGATTTCCTCTGGGCCTTTCCAGCCTCCCTGGGCAGGTGACACGCAGCTGGTGCACAGCAGGAGCCCAACCAGTCATGGTGATTCAGGCCTGTAGTCCTAGTGCTCTGGGAGGCTCCTACAGGAGGATGCAAAATTCAAGCCTAGCCTATGATTTAGCAAGAGTCTGGCTCAAAAATTTAAAAAGGACTGAGGATGTAGCTCAGTGCAAAGGCCCTGGGTTCAATCCCTAGTAAACACAAATACACACACACACACACACACACACACACACCCTCCGAATG